AATAAATGCATACCTTGAAGGATGCAACTTAAAGCTATCAGTTTTATTTGATCACTTTAGATTTATTTGGAAAAGAATCCAGAAACCACACCATTCCTCAGTTTTTATACTTTCCCTCAGGGAAAAAAGCTTACTTGCAGTGTAATCATCCCTATGTCTCTCTGTGAATAAGATCAAATTTCCTCAATAATGTCTACTTCTTAGTTGCCACAAACAGAGTTTTATTAATATACAGTACATTTATCAGGAAACTCTTGATTTTGAAAACTTAATACCATATAATATTTGACTACCTTATATAAATTAGTGTTTAGTATATATTTGCAGAACTAATGGATTATCAGTGTCTTCTAACTTAGATTTTCCTACAATTATCCTTCAGAAAATTAAGGAGCAGAGTTGCAATTTCCATTTTGAAAAACTGCACACACCCAGATCTTTCAGGTACTTAGCACTGCAATGCCAATTAGATTACAAGTAAGCCTAAATATTTAACAGAAATCATTGCAATTAACCATTAGAATACTTACATTTAACCTTAGGGAAATCTATTCAAATAGGTTTACAGAGGAATACATGAGCAACTGATTTTTGGTGCACTCTGGAAATTAGTGCATTTTCACTTCATATACTAAAAATAGTTACAGATCTAGAGCGCCACTGAGATCTGTTTCTCTGAAACTCAAATGCTCATATATCCACACATATTAAACAGGCTCTCAGAGGTACATATATTTTGAAAGGAATACTTTCAAAATATGTAAGAAATGAGCAGAATGAAGAGTAGACTCCCTCTACTGGGCATTGGAAAGAAATTCAAGGTGAATATATGCCTCCAACCCAAAGAAACCGAATGAAAATGCTGTAATCATACTTCTCATTTTTAACACAAAATGTACACAAATTCAAGTACTGTGTCAATTACCAGATTTACCCACAGAAAAATCTGAAACTTTCCATTACCATATACTACAGCAGAATCACAGTCTTAATGCCATGCAAAAATATCACATCTTACTATATACAAAGAAATGATAAGCCTGCGAAACACATTTTAGACATACATTTTAATTCAAAATAACCAAATCTCAGATCAAATCAGATATGTGAAAACTACTTTTTGGACTACAAGTCTCCAAATATCCAGGCAGCATGGTCACTGGCTATTTCTGAAGCTGTAGTTTAAAAGTAGCTCTTGCCATCCCTTACTTGGATACTATAAGCTATATAGCAGGCAAAATGAAAACAGATGAATAAATAAAGCGTCGGACACAACTAAACGACAACAGTTTTCCTGCTCTGGAAGCTGAAACTATGATCCTGGTTCTAAACTATGACTAATAAAAGCCTGAATTAAGCATGAGGAATCCCAGAAGTTTTAAAATACAGTGGTGCCTCGCTTAACAATGATAATCTGTTCCAGGAAAATCGCCATTAAGCGAAAACATCGTAAAGCGAAAATAAAAAGCCCATTGAAACGCATTGAAAACCTTTCAATGTGTTCCAATGGGCTTAAAACTCACCGTCCATCGAAGATCCTCCATACGGTAGCCATTTTCGCTGCCTGTATAGCGGGGAATCCGTCCCTAAACACAGCGGGGACCCATTTTAGTTACCCGGCGGCCATTTTGAAACCGCCAACCAGCTGTTTAAAAATCATCGTTTTGCAAAGAAGCGGTTCCCGAAGCAGGGAACCGATCATCGCAAAGCGAAATTCCCCCATTTAGACCATAGTTTTGTGATCGCAAAAAGATCGTCGTAAAGTGGATTCGTCGTAATGCGGGGCAATCGTAAAGCGAGGCACCACTGTATTGAAAAACACTTAATTCACTCTTGTTAAGTTCTGAGCTCAAAATCATACAAGGAATAGGTTTAGATTTTCCTGTATGCTCCTTTACTCAGCATATATGTGGACATGAAACCTGTCCTGTTCAGAACACATCTAAAGCGGAAGGAGCAACTTGTGTTTTTAGAATTATGGCTTCCTCACCATCAACTAGAAGAGACAAACGTTTCTCCACAATAGGGAAAGCAACTGCAAAAGTTAAGTTGGTATATTTCATTGGTAAAATTCATGCAATTAATATTCTTCAGTGTAAAAACATACTTTCTTCACAAGGGATCAGTTCCAAACCTCAATGCAGATGTTGAAAACTGCAGACAGAGAACCCTATACAGTGGTGCCTTGACTTACAGACGTCCCTACTTACGAATATTTTGGGTTACGGAAAGCTCCGGCCGCAAAACTTTGGTTCGACTTGTGACTGGAGCTTCCACTTACGAACAGAAAAAGGCAGGGTGAAAGGGCGGGAAATTTAAATTTACTAACTGTTGGTGGCCAAGAGGCTGCTTCTTTGTAGCTCTTTCACCTCAACGGTTAGGGAAAGGGATGCGGTGGGGTGTCCCAAAGCCAGGAGGCTCGACTCTCCTGGGTGCTCTGGCGACAGCAGTGGGGGCGGCAGAGGCAACGGTCACCCAGTGCTAGGAGGCTTGAGCTGTCCAGGGTGCTTCGGCCACTTGCCTCCCAGCTCGCTTCCCGCTCGCTCCTCACCACCCTCCGCCATTTGAATTTCCTGCCATAGACCTCTGAAAGCCGCAGCGCTGAAGAGCTGAGAGGCGGGGAGCCAGTGCCACTTTCAGAGATCCCCCACCATTTTTTTTTGCCCATAGGAACACATTAATTAAATTTCAATGCATTCCTATGGGAATTTTTTTTCCTCTTGCGAGTCACCAAAAAACTCCCAAGATGCTTTCGTCTTGTGAGTTTTTCGTTGTGCAAGGCATTCGTCTTGCGAGGCACCACTATATTAGAGTCTGATATACAAATGGAGAACTAATGTATAAAGGGCCAAAAAGACATGTATTTAGTTTCTTTATAAATCACCATTTGTTAAAACTAATACCTATCATGGAACACCAGTCTGCAAAAGGACACATATGGAAAAAAATCCCACAACAGTAAATTACTGAAGGTTTATTCCGACCAATTTGCAACTAATTTCATTATGTGTTAATATAGTCAAACAATATCTGACAGATGAAATTAACCATCCTGAGCGAGAGAATAATTTGATGTAGACGGTAAGAGTAGCTACTCGTAATTTTTCCACCAAAATTTGTCCTTTCACCTTGTCCCACAGGTACTGACTGTAACACAACATGTGTTCACAAACATGTCAGCTAAACCAGTTTCACACAAAGTGAAGTAAAGAAAATTGCATGTCCTATTTAAAAATACATTGCACACAATGAAACAGAAGGCAGTCTCCATCATTAGTATAACGCAAGTTTAAAATGACCCAGGTACTGTTATGAAAAACTTGAGAAGAATTTGTTAGGTTAAGATCATTCAAAACATGCACAGTACCTTGGTGATTCCATTGATTTCTGGCTAACCAAAGAACAGAAAATCAAGACTAGAATATGGGAAAGTAAGAAAATTATCACTGACCTACATAAACAAGTCAAGCATTCTCCCATTAACATTTATCAGAAATAGTGCAACTCACCACTTTCTTCTTTCTCTCTTCAAAGTCAATATTTATTTCTTTATTTTTCTTCATAGCAGTTTCCAATGTATTTTTAAGATCAATGGCTTGTTTTAGACGATTGTCACTTATTCCAGCCCTTGTGAACAACTGCAATTTCAAATTACATAGGTAGTTCATCCATTAGTTAGTTTATGCACAGATTTGGCAAGCTACAGAAATAACACAACAATGCAAGCATTTGCAGTATTCAGCTATCAAAGGTTTGTCCAGACTTTCTCTCCTGTGGAGATATGGGTTGCAGGCACATGGAAAGCTGAACTGTATTCATCCTATCCTCTGGCCATGGTGTGGTTTGGAAAGAGGTCACATTCAGTAGACACACTCTTTGTCTAGACATATCTACTGTTGCATAAGATTTCAGCACTAAGGGTTTCCAGAAATGTCAGGGGGGGCATAAAATAAATGTTGTTATACTTCTATGTGGCAATACAAGGCCGAAAGTACAACATCCCTTTAATACAGGTTGTCTTAAAATACCATGGTTAATACAGGTCTGGTCAAAGCTAGAAAAGATGTAAAAACAAATGGATGGGGGAAATCAAATACTGAGTTATGAATACCAGATATGAAAACAGTAGTTACAAAATTACAAAACATGCTAGGAGAAAGGCTGTAACTCCAAATGGAGTATTCTGAAGTTTCTGAATAGCCCATGGGGGGGGGGATTACTGCATGAACCCACCAGCATTTTCTACATAAGGATTAAGCAGACCCAAAATTAACATTTCTTTCCTCCTCACCTGAATCCAAGATTGCACTGAAGGTAAGAATTTATTTTGGATGAGCTTATGAGAATCTTTAATATTATTTATTATAGCTGTATTGTCTTCATTCTCATGCAGCTTCACATCTATCAAGAAAAAACAGACACAGCATCACTTTTAATTCAGAAGCAAACTTCCTTTCTTGCCTAAATAATATTTACACACTGATAATAAATTCTAGGGCAGTTATCTGACAAGCTTGGGTATAATAGTCTAAAACGTATTTAACAATAAGATATTGTTCCAAACAATCTGCATCCCCCACCATCTAACTATTCAATGGTTTTAAACATAATAGTTTGATATATAGTTAAGAAACAGAAAACAGAAAACATTATTGTTGTTGTTGTTGTTATTATTAGTTTTATTTATATGCCGCATTTCTCCCAACAAGGGACCTAAAGTGGCTCACAACATTAAAATTCACACAATTAAAACAGTAAGTTAAATATTAAAAGAGTTAAATATTAAAAGAGTAAGTTAAAAATTAAACAATATATGATTTATACGAAGTATAAAGAGACCTCATAACAGTCCTCTCATTTGTCTCTGGTTTAGTTTTTCTTTCAAAGATCAGTTGTCACACAGAGACACAGGATGGGAAACTAATTTAACAATTAATGACTTTAACAAACACATATTTTAAATATGATAAATATGATTTGCACTATGCAAATGTGTAACATTAAAATTAACTTGCAGCTAAAAGAAGTGCTGTGCTCGATATAAACATAACAGTGGGTCCAAATACCTGTGGGTATTTCCAGACTGAGAGTGTATTTATGAGAACCAAGACCATGACTCCGAACAAAGGTTGCATGATCATCTTCACTGGCATCAGCAGAAGTCAACTGAAAGTCTAAGCAGTCTTCAGTATTTATGTTCTTCTGCGTTTCCTTGTTCAGGTCTCCACTGTCAATTTTTGGAACCAGAGAGAGAGAAGGAAGGTTTTTGCTACAACAAGGCTGCTCGTCATCATCAATCAAAGGAACCGTCTGTACAGATGAAGAGGAAACAGTTTTGCCCACTTCAGTTGTCCTCCAATGAACAGTTTCAGTGTCATTCACCATAAAGTCAAAAGGATCTGGCATCAAAAGCCGAAAACAGTTTTCCAACTCCGTCAGCACAGCTTGGATTTCTACGGACATATCTGTTGAGTAGTAGTAATTTAAGAATATTGCTATATATAATCCAGAGCTACTACTACACACACTAAAACCGATTCAGTCTCTATGAAATAATTTCCTACCTCTGCAGAATCAATTTTTGTACATTGCTAATGTTGAATCCAAATCTATTACCTAGTTTCTTGTGCAAACAAAAATTACTCCAAAAATATTTCAAAATATAAAACAACCAGTGCAGAGAATACACAGAGAAAAACTTAACAGGAAGTGGCTGATGGTCTAAGAGGGTGAAAAATGCATTGGTATAAGGCAGAGAAGGGCAACACAGTTCATGAAGATTACCCTGCTGAAGACTTAACTCACAGAGAGAGCCTGGTAGACTGTGTTCCTATGCAGAGCAGCAATAAGAAGCCTAGCTCTAACCAGCTTGTGTAGGAACCATGCATCTGTGGTCCCAGTGAGTGGAAAAAGGGCAAATCCATCCATAGTTTTAGATGTTCAGTGGTTTTGTACATATTTGGAAAGAAAGGAAAGGAACAGGATTTGTTTGGACTTTTAGAAATATGCCCACACATATCTGAGAGCTATGGCATTTTCTTTGGAATTGTCCAATTGCCAATGGATTTTCATTTTCTCCTCTTGACCTTTGTATCTCCCTTTCCATACCTGCTTCTTTAAGCAAGCTGCTTAAAGAATATACCTACCTATTATTATTATTATTATTATTATTATTATTATTATTATTATTATTATTATTATTATTATTATTATTATACCTATAGAAGCAGCATTGTCCAAAGGAAATCAATGAAGCTTCACAGTATCAGGCCAGAATGTTTCAGTGACACTCCAAAAGCTAGTCCACCCCTAATTAGGGCACTAAGTCCTCCTCACCTTCCATTTCCTTCTCAGCTTTCTTGGCCTTTTCTCCATAAATGCTATCCAATCGTTTTTGTTTTTCTTCATCTCTTTTTCTTTCGGCTAGAGTTCTGGCACTTACATTTTGAAAATCCACCTAAAAGAGAATTGTGGATAATATTAGTTTCCTTTAACAGAACAATTTTTTTCTTACAAAGAAATCTAAGTCTGCACAATATCTAAAGATCGACATCTAAAGTATACATAGCACAAAGGTTGCTTTCTTGTATTTTTACAGCATCTGCTTTTGAGACAATGTACAAAAGCCTCTCCTCAAAAGTCTAAAGCAAATTTCAAAAGATTTTTTTAAACATAAAATGTTGAAACAATCCAGGATAATTAATTACGCAAATTTAATCTCTAAGATAAAAAAACTGTGTTCTTTGCCTGAAAATGCACCCAGATTCTCTTTGCCACTTTGTCAAGATTGTTTGACTGTTTTGTTTCAAGCCCAAAAATATATATCCAGGCCTGCAATAAATAAACATGCACAAATCCACCATACAAAGTGTTGCACTGTATAAGCTGTCCATACTGAACTAACAGTAAGCACCTTAGTAGCAGCAAAAATCAAGAAAAGGTTGTGAGGTCCCTAAAACAATATAAAAGTGGGTAGAGGTGATACCTTTATTTGACCACTTAAAAAACCCTAAACAGTGAGCTTTTGACAATTATTCATCTTCAGAACACACCTTCCCCTCACAGGCCTCTTGCAGACTGCAACTATTTGTATCTTTAAAAAAAACTAACCTTGTTCCAACAATGACCCTAAGACTTTAAGATTTAATAAAAGCATATAATTTTGGAACTGCTCATAAGAACTAGGGTCATAGCCTGAAGATGAATTATCATTGAAAGCTTGCTGTTTCTTTTTTGTTTTAGTGGTCCAATAAATGTATAATCTGTTCCTGCATTGCTACCTGCAGTCTGAGTGAATAAACAATCATTTCCCCTAATTATTTACAACAAAATTCCTTTTTTCTTTCAGGCAAACACACATACATCAACCTGCACTAAAACAAGCTTTCTAAAATAGCATTTAGCCATACAGCACAAACGAATGAAAATATTTAAGTACCTTCTTGTTTTGCTTTAAGAAATAGTATCCAAGTGAAAGTTTCTTGTAGGCCTCCCCATACTCTTCATGCCACCTTTGAACAGATTTAATAGCTACTGTTTTCAGCTTCTGAGCTACTTCTTCTGGTGGAGGAAGAGGCTGATCATAGTCCGTTTCCACCGTAAGCTCCAATAATTCTTGGAAGTTTGATATAATTAAAGTCCTAAACTGATGTGATCGTGTAAAAAGTTCATCTACAATTTGGAATGCTGAAAGACGTATCTGAGCATGGTCTTCATTCAGCTGTGTCATTAACAGGTGATAAATGTGACAAATATGCTCATCTGAAGACCTTAAAGAAAGTATCAAATAAATGAGTACTCCAAAAGCAAAAACCATCAACCATGAGGTCTTAAAGACAATCTAACACAATCACACACAAAAAAAGGATCACTGCTGAGTCTTAATATACCAGTTACATGCTATGCCACCAATCAAAATAACATTTTGCTTTTCAGTATCTTTGGGGATGCAGTCCTGTACACATATAAACCTCATTTGGTACCATGAGACTTGCTTCTGTATCATCATGCATAAGCACTTTATAATGAGGAATGCACCAATTTGATCTAATATTAGAAATCAAGCAGAGCTGAGCCAGGTTAGTATTCAAAAGGGAAGTCACTGGGGAATGACATGTTTTTCCAGGAAAGAATATTGCCTAAATTCTATCCAGGAGAGCTGCTGTCAGTCAGAGTTGACAATATTTAAATTGTTTTTAAATTTTAAATTCTTTTTAAATTGTGTGAATTTTAATGTTGTTAGCCGTTTTGGGTCCCTTGTTGGGAGAAATGCGGCATCATCATCATCATCATGGTGATGATGATGGTGGTAGTAGTGGTGGTGGTGATGATACTGGGCTACAAATGAACAAATAGTTTGCTTATGCTTCTATTTCACTGAACCCACAATTTAAAGAACAGTGAACACTTTGGAAAAATTATTTTGCAATTTTTTGCCTCCACTATTAGAGAAAAATAACCTGTAACGTGTTATTTTACTACCGCAGACATTTGGCAGTACTGTGAGATCATACAAAAATAGGCAACCCTGATACCTGCAAATCTTCTTTAGTTCCTTCATCTTCTGAGAATCCAGCTGGGGTTCTCCTGAAGTTGTAAGGTGCTCCACAAGCTGAGACAACCTTTGATCCATCTTTGGAGTGAAAAAGTGCACAAAAATGATTAAACTAAAATTAACCCCGAATAAGCAGTTCTTGTCGTGATGATTCCCGTCTCCCTCCCCAAGAAAACCAGGAGAGAGGAAAAAAAACCTCTTATATTTTAGAAAGCGAAAAACGCAGGAATTTGGACACAGGGGGGTGACTGGGGAAACCAAACCGTAATCTGCGCCCGGCCGCCCGCCCGCCCTAAAGGCAATCCCGTCCGCCTCGGCTACGGAGGTTACCTTCTCGCTTTCCTTCCGGAAGCCTCTTTCACTCCCTCTCCAAACGACGACGACGACGACGACAGGCAGCTCCTCCTTCAACCCCTCGCCTTTCGCTACAAGGCGACGCCATAAGTGACCCCAGAGGAGCTGCGGAGCCTCAGCCGCAGAGCAACAAGCCCGCCGTCCAAGCCGCGCGGCGGGAGAGAGGGCCGGGCAGCCCCGCCACTTCCGCAGCCACCGCGAGCAAGGGCCGAGGAAAGGGGGGAGCGGAGCGAAGAAAAGGAGGCCCCGAAGGAGAGCGAACTGGAGGCGTCCGGACTCCGGGGGGGGGGTGGAGAGCGAGCGAGAAGGGCCACGGAAGCGCCGCCGCCTCCTTTTTCCTTCTCACTCGCGGGGTACACCGGGCGCCCTCCCCCTCCTCCCTCCCGGAACTAGCCGGGCCGAGTGACGCCTTCCAGGGCCGGTCCGCGAGGGAGGGAGGGGAAAGAGGCGGGCCTTCCCCTTCGCCCTAGATCTACGGTCGCCTGGGCGACGAGGAGGCGGGAGCCCTCGGAAATCAAACGGAGGTTGCGCAGAAGCCGAGCCCTCCCCTGCGCTGCCCGTTGGTCTCGCCTCCCGGGCGGAAGTGGGAGTGGGTTCTGCTGAAGCCATCCAGGGATTCGCCGGGCGACCGCGGGCAGCCCGCACGACAAGATCGCGGGGGGAAGTTTTTTTCGGGGCTTCAGCTGTGGGAAAGGGCTTCTTCTGTATATGAGGCGCTTGTCATGAAGCCAGTGCCGCGCAGACGGGACAA